AAAAGAAATAATTAATAGCTTAAACAAGCGTTTAAAAAAATAATATTACAAAGAAGGGCATCAATTAAAAAATACAAATGCAGTAATAAATAATATAAGGCCCGTACAGATAAATCAATTAACTTGAAAATTTATAGAATGTGGCCAAAATAGAAAAAAAATTTCGAAAACTTCAAGAACACAACTTTAAAATTCAGCCAGATATATGCAAATTATTGTAACCTATTCAGCAAGAGACCCTATTATTTACAATAACGGCAGAAAAATTATAGAAACTAACAAAGCAGAGGACCCAGATTACCAGATAACGGCAGATTATATTATAGAAAATTAATTATTAAAATTATAGAAACTAACAAAGCAGAGGACCCACTAAAAATCGAACAGAAATTATTTTATAATATAAAAAGAAAGGAAAGCTATCTTCGGGCGGAGCCGAAGTTGATATACCCTTGCAGTTAAAACCGGATGTATATCGCAAACATCGGATATAGTTAGCCGATCCTTATGATAATATCACCCAATTCATTATAATATAAAATCTAAAAAAAATCTCAAGCTTCTATCTTCAAAAATACCAAAGTTGATATTTCTACCAAATACCATTTCCAATGGTTCAGTTATATGGCAGCTATAAGATATAGTCGGTCGATCGTTATGAAATTTAGTAGGTCGGATTACCTGACCAAAAATATAATCTGTACCGAGTTCCAGCTTTCTATATTCAAAAACACAAAAGTTGGGTCAATTCCGATCGTTCAGTTATATGGCAGTTATAGGATATAGTCGGCCGATCCTTATGAAATTTGGCATGTCGTATTTTTTTGCTAAATGTAGCTCTCATGTGAAATTTGAACTCTCTAACTTTAAAAAAACTAAATTTATACCATTTCCGATCAATCAGTTATATGGCAGCTATAGGATATAGTCGGCCGATCAAAGCCGTTCCGACTCATATACTCAAATTTCCCTATCAAATCTCAAATTTCATAGGGATCGGCCGACTATATCCTATAGCTGCCATATAACTGAACGATCGGAAGTGACCCAACTTTCGTGTTTTTGAAGAAAAAAACATATATCTTTGTACAGATTCTTATTTTGGTTAGGTGATCCTATTAACCAAATTTCATAACAGTCGGTCGACTATAATAAGCTATAATAAGCTGCCATATAACTGAACGTTCGGAATTGGTATTTGGTAAAAATACCAGCTTTGGTGTTCTTGAAAATAGAAGCTTGGGACTTTTTTTACATTTTCTATTGTAATTTTTGTATTTTTTATTGTAATTGGTTATATGTATTATAATATTCAAATAAGGATCGGCCAACTTTATCCGATTTTTCCGATATATGTCCGGTTTTAACTGCAAGGCTATATTAACTTCGGGTCCGCCCGAAGTTAGGTTTCCTATAGCTATATTTCCAGCTATAGGATATAGTCGGCCGATCCTAATGAAATTAAATAGGTTGAATCAACTGACCAAAAATAGAATCTGACCCAAGTTTCAGCTTTCTATCTTCAAAATCACGAAAGTTGATATAGTCGACCGATCCTTATGAAATTTGGCATGTCGTAATGTTTTGCCAAAAATAGCTCTCGTGTCAAATTAAAACTCTCTAACTCTAAAAACACCAAAGTTACACCATTTTCGATCAATCAGTTATATGGCAGATATAGGATACAGTCGGCCGATCTCGGCCGTTCCGACTTATAAACTGCGTGCCAAGGAAAGAAGGGTGTGTGCATAGTTTTAGTCGATAAATTTAAAACTGAGAGACTAGTTTGCGTAGAAACAGACAGCCGGACAGGCGGACAATATACTATATGTTTAGTATATTGAAATCTTAGAAGTTGTTGTGGTGTCTTCGTTGTTTTACGTTAAATCGCTTCAACATAGAAATTTGCAATTGTTTGCAGTACGGAACTCACTGAAGACTCCAGCATCCAATGATAAAGCAATTATTGATTTATTTAAAAATGAAACTTTTGCCAATATATCGGAGAATAGAATGTAAGCTTTTGAGGATGCTAGTGAAATAATGTGGCAAAATTGAAGAATTGACGATTGCAAAGCAGACATTCCGATTGGCTCTGTTCAGGAGAAGGCATTCAATAAGACGCCCTGCATTAGCCTATATTGGAAAATCCCGAAGGGCTCAATGAAAACAGTTTGCAGATCTTGTCGTGTCTTAAGGAGGAAGCACAAGTTTATTAATACAGACAGCTTGCATGGCCACACGAAAACAGGCAATCAAAATATTAGTGCATTCAAGCGATATTATAACAAGAAAGGAAAGCTAACTTCGGGCGGAGCCGAAGTTTATATACCCTTGCAGTTAAAACTGGATATATATCGCAAACATCAGATATAGTTAGCCGATCCTTATGATTACATCATAATAAAACCAATTAATTACAATAAAAAATCTAAAAAAAAGTCCCAAGCTTTTATCTTCAAAAATACGAAAGTTGATATTTCTACCAAATACCATTTCCGATCGTTCAGTTATATGGCAGCTATAGGATATAGTCGGCCGATCCTAATGAAATTTCGTAGGTCGGATTAACTGACCAAAGATATAATCTGTAGCAAATTCCAGCTTTCTATCTTCAAAAACACGAAAGTTGGGTCATTTCCGATCAATCAGTTATATGGCAGCTATAGGATATAGTCGGCCGATCCTTATGAAATTTGGCATGTCGTTTTATTTTGCCAAAAATAGCTCTCATGTCAAATTTGAACTCTCTAACTCTCAAAACACCAAAGTTATACCATTTCCGATCAATCAGTTATATGGCAGCTATAGGATATAGTCGGCCGATCCCGGCCGTTCCGACTTATATACTGCGTGCAAAGGAAAGAAGGGTGTGTGCAAAGTTTCAAGACGATAGCTTCAAAACTGAGAGACTAGTTCGCGTAGAAACGGACAGACAGACAGACGGACAGACAGACGGACAGACGGACAGACGGACAGACGGACAGACGGACATGCTCATATCAACTCAGGAGGTGATCCTGATCAAGAATATATATACTTTATAGGGTCGGAGATGTCTCCTTCACTGCGTTGCACACTTTTGGACAAAATTATAATACCCTCTGCAAGGGTATAAAAAGCGATGCTTCTTCCTGTGGGGTATTTTGGACAGGAGGGAGCTGAAGTGCGAAACAAGCTCTATAAATCCGATCGCATTTAGATCGAATCATACCGAATTGATAATCTTTGTGATGTTTTTGCGTCGAGCAATGTATACATCAGATTTGATTATTTCGCCAGTCAACCTAAAAAAGACGCAAAAAAAAGTTAAACTTTCACATTTTAGAAATGCTTTGAAGGGTGCGGAATAGTCTTCGAGGCTGAAAAAAAAAGATTTCTCAAATTTTGTACATGATAAATGGCTATATTTAAAGAGTATACATTTTTGGCCAAAAAATAATTATTATTTATCCCGTGACGAAAGTCGCTCAGAGTCGCTTCAAAAAAGTGTCGTCTTGCGGTGTTATTTGAAAAAAAAAAAATTTAATTGATTTTTTTAATATATTAGTTTCTTGTGCGGATGAACGAAATTATACTGAAAAATATGCGATTTTTAATTTTAAAGTTCATCCAGCTCAAGTTCATCATTCAAGTTTAAAGTTCAAAGTTCAGTTTAAAGTATTTATTGCATAAAGGATGTGTGCAAAATTTCATTTAGATCCGAGCATTACTTTTTTGAGTTACGTTACGCACCGACTTGGAAATAGTTGTTTTGAGAAAAACGCGTCTAAACAATATAATATAATCGGTAAAAATATAATCGGTATCTCAGCGAGTTTTAGTCCGATCGACATGGAATTCAAAGGATATTCCGAAGATTATAAACTTTTATATAAAAAATTATCAACAAAAATTTTGAATGAAATGATTGTCTTTAAAAGACAATGAAGAGGATTTCGATAGTGTTGATTTAGAATTGAATTTCAAACCGGAGAACGAAGGTGAAAAAGTTTGGTTTAGGTCTGTTAATAACTAAAACCCAAAAATAATACGCAAAATACAAACTTAAATTTAATCTATTTTAGATTGCTTCAATAAAGCGAAACCCTTTATTTATTTAATTTTTTTTAATAAATTTACAATTGTTTTTTCCTACTACCGCCTATTGAATAGAAATAAAAAAAAGATGTCACACCCATTTTATTTGTTTTTAATTTTTACTGCCTATGGGCTATATTAGAACAATAAAAAAAAATAAATCGAAAGTTCTTGTTTCATTCGTGAGTTATTAATTCATTTTATCTATTAGTACGCAGTTATTTGTCTGTTTAGTTTTATGCAAACTAGTTAGTTTTCACTCAGTTAATTTGCACGCTGTGTAAGACTTACAGTGTAAGTCTACCGATTGTATTTTATATCTTTCTTATAACTGATCATTGGAAAATTTCATACCTTCCGCGATTTAGCAGATAACGATTTTTTACAGAATGTACTATATAGGATGTCATATGACTAAACGGATAGAATGAGTTACGATTGTATGTACATACATACATACATATATATGTATGTCTTATTTTGACTATTATTAAAGAGTTGCATACGAGTACAAGCTCTGTTATAGTATTTTGGGAGTAAAAAGACCAGGGTAGAGAGACGAATTTTTTTTTTGTAAAATGCTTTTAATGCTTTTTAAAAATTTATGATTCATGATTTCATGGTAGGCATTGTATCTTTTTTAAAATTAATTTGTGACAAAAGTGGGTGAATACATTTTAAGTTTACATATGTATATGGAATGCATCTGAAATTCAGATTGTAGATAATAAAAAATTTGCTAAGAAAAAATTTTTATTTTTTTCTCTTGCGATGTATTTACATATACATATATACATATATGTAAATATCTGCATATATAACTGCCAAAATGTTTAATAAGTTTAAATTCAATTTTTTCCGTTTTTTAAATCTAAATGAAGTAATTAAATTGAATCGACAACAATTTTATAATTACATGCCTCTGTTTATAAACCAGTAAAACACACGAAATAATTTTAAAATTTGTTTATCAATATCTCCTTAAAAGTGATGACGATTCTACGTTCGATAAATGTTATTTTATGTTACTCATATATGTTATCTTTACACTTGAATCCAAGGGTAAATATATATTATGCATCAAATTTACTAATGCCCTGAAAATGTACTGAGCCCACCGGCATGAATACAAGATGACCCTAGATTTTTTGGGATATATTAAGATAGGGAGTGAGAGGCAAATAGGTAAAAACTATTTTTGACAGGGTCTTTTCGACACCCCGTACTCAGATCGAAAAAAAGATGTTACATACATCTAATAACAATTTAATTAGTGCTAGTGAAATAAATACCGTGAATTTGACATATTCGGACATATTCGCCATATTCGGATTTTAAGTTTTGTAGTTCGTTTTTTTCAATAATCGGTCGTAATAATAAGAGTTTAATAATTCGGTTTTTATTCAAAGTATCGGGCCATCGGACTTTATGTTTACAGTATAGCACAATTTTGTTGTGGTGCTTCTAACGAGAGAGGCATTCTACAGCTCCCTCATTTTTAAAAAAAACCAATAGTATGGAGTTATTTTCTAACGAACTTATTTTTTATCGATTATTTGTTCAGCAAAATGAAATTACTTTTTTATTATATTTGTTTGTTTTAATTTTTAATGAAAATAAATAATTAATTTAATGGTTTAATGAAAAAATTCATAAAAGATGTTCATATAATCTAGAATTTTAGAAATTTTTTATATTATTAATAATTTTTTTTGTATGACAAAAAAGTCATGCTATTAATTTTTCTGTTTTTTTTTTGTTGGTGGATATATGGGTGGCTACCATTACCTCATCAAATTTCTTTAATTATCTGTCGGGTTAGGCAGAAAACAACTGTTAAGATTAAATAATTAAATAATAATCTACGCATTGATTCATTGTACGCATTCCGACTCCATATCGGAAGGTTGCGTGTTTATATCACGTCGGGGTCACCACAATGTTTGGTCATCGATATTTTTCAATGAATGTAAATAAAAAGTCCGAGTGTATTTAATTTTATAACGTAACAAAAAACTTTATTTGGCCGCATATGAAATTGGAAATAAACAAAAGAACGCCAATTTGGGGTGCGAGCGCCAAAAGATATCGAACGAGAGTGCGCCCGCCTTAGATAATAGTCTAAGCGGATGCTCGTTTGCTTGAGATACTGAATTAGTTGAAGCTGAGCGGCCGAGAAGAAGTCAGCTTGCGACCAACAAAGCGTACATAATCATTTAATCCTAACAGTAGTTTGCTGCCTGACCCGACATTCTCCCCCCAGTTGGGGCTTCTACTCCAACCTCATTCCTAAGGGGCAACAGGCAGCTTCGACACTGCGCCCTTGGAAACTCCAGATGAGGGTTTAATCAAGGACACTCTAAACACTTCATCTCGGCCAGGGATTAACTCCATTAATCTCGCAAGCAGAAATTTCATCGGAGATAGGTCCAATCGGTTGAAGTTCAGCTTTGTGACATCCTGCTCGATAAAGCTAACTGACGGACCACCAGCTAAAAAATTAGCTGGGGTTAGAACATCGAGGTCTGCAGGATTCTCTGAGACAGAATTTATGGCAGCTCCAATATGGAACAGCAGGGTTCGCAGCTCCTCGAATCCAAGATCCAATGCAGAGATCGAGGAGGAATAAAGTGCCATTCGAGTGACTCCATAGAATAAAACTCCAGCAGCGCCCGTTAAAGCTCATCGCTTATAAATAATCGGAGAAGCTCGTTTTTGGCTGTATCAAAGTTGCTGCGTTGTCAAACCAAATATGTTGAGGCCTTCGGTGGGTGGATATAAATCGCTTCAAGGCCTGCAGAAAAGAAGTTGTGGACCCTTACAAGCTCCAGGTAGATGGCTTTGGTGGTAAAACAAATGAAAACGCCAACGTAACAATTTTTTAGAGCCTCATTACGCACTTCCGGCTTATAATAAAAAGGCCCCAAAAAATCCACACCAGTGACTCCAAAGACCTGGGAGCTGATAACTGTTTGCTCTGGGAGATCAGACAATGTGCTCCAGCAACTAGAGATGGGTACGGGCCGGGCCGGGCCTGTATCGATAAATACGGGCCTCGGGCCTAAGAATCGGAAACGGGCTTTTTCCGTGCGGGCCCGGGACTTGGCAAAAAAGCCCGCTAAGCCCGTTGGCCCGGTAGGCCCGCAAAGCCATAGCAAAAAAATAAAAATTTTTACAGTTTTTTTTTGGATATTTATGAATGATATGTAAAAATGGAAAATATGTAAATACACCTAGCGAAGAAAAATGCATTTTAACGTTTTGGAAAAATGCAAACCATTTTAACCTTTTACAGACATTGGCTAAAAATGTTTTATGCAAGCTCTGCAACAAGTGAGCGGTCCACATCTGGAAAAATACTTAACGAAAGGAGAACTAGACTAAAAAGTGAAAACATGCTAATTTTTTAACATAAAAATATGTAATTAATTTATAAAAGTTTTCGCTTTTTAGTCTAGTTCTTCTTTCTTGTACTTTAGTCGTAGTCTACTCTGTTTCATATTATATCATATATTATCTATTGTGTAGGGGGGCGTTGGTTCCGCAAAAAGACTCCAGAATGGGGGTTGAAAATAACAAGTCGGGGGCATCTTCAATTCAAGTAAAAAAACGCGTTCAGCTTTATTGGCTGCGTACATCGAATTGCCAACTTAAAAACTAGTACAAAAAGAGATCGACGACAACCAACGAGCGAGAAGAGAGGGCACAGAGGGGCGAGTGTGAATGCGCTCTTCAGCGCGGGTGCGCTCTTTAGCGCGGGTGCGCTCTTCAGCGCGGATGCGCTCTTCAGGTGAGCGGCACCACGGCCCCTCACCTAAACATCTATAATAAGTTAACAAAAATAAAATACATAGTTGTTTCTTGAACATTCATAATGATATATTTTTTTTTTTTTGGGCAAACCGGGCCGGGCCCGGTCTTAAGGCTTCGGGCCTTACGGGCCTTAAAATTGAGGCCCATTTCTACCAGCAACCAAGGCTTTTACCGATTAATTGCTCATCTTCTGCCAACTGATACATTGCCCGAACTGATAAAAATGAAGCACGCTTCGTTTCATAGGTGACAGTATCCAGCTTAAAAACCTTTAACTCATCCTGGGTGGAATCCCAGGAATGAACTGCATATAGCTGTCCTCAGAAAAAACTCTTACGTAACGATACATTTTGCAAATATCTCAAGTAATGACAACCCAATGGCATCGGAACCTTAACAGAATATGCTGCCACTTTGGCTGAATAACTAGGCCAGACATCAACACGTCGTTCAATGAATATCTAGAAGTGGTGACAGCAGATCCATAAAAAAAAACCCTAAAGTTGGTTGTTAAACTGTCCTCCTTTAAAACACAATGGTATGGCAAAAAGTTGTGAGGAGAATTCGCCTCCTCACACGCTAAGACAGCAATGGCCAATCAGTTTAGGGGGCCGCGGGAGATGGGCTATACGAACGGGGAGGGGTAGGGTTTCACCATCGAGGGCGAAGACAGAATCGAGGTGGAACGTAACGGTTCCCGGAGCAGCAGTAGACGAATGGAAAGACAGGGTTACAGCACCCAGTGGGAAGACGGAATCAACGTGGAACGTAACGGTTCCCGGAGCACCAGCAGACAAATGGAAATGCAAGGTTACATCGTCCAGTGGGAAGACGGAATCAACGTGGAACGTAACGGTTCCCGGAGCATCAGCAGACAAATGGAAATGCAAGGTTACATCGTCCAGTGGGAAGACGGAATCAACGTGGAACGTAACGGTTCCCGGAGCCCCAGCAGACAAATGGAAATGCAAGGTTACATCGGCCAGTGGGAAGACGGAATCAACGTGGAACGTAACGGTCCCCGGAGCACCAGTGGACGAATGGGAAGGCAGTGAGGGCAGTGAGAGGCAGAGCTCCATCATCGGGTGGAAGACGGATCAACGTGGAACGTAACGGCTCCCGAGGCAACGGTGGGCACATGAGCCCGCCGCGCAGCGGAGTTCAGGATGGGCAACATGACTGGGAGCAGCAAAGGAGCAAGGAGCAACAGGGGAGGCGGAGGAGGCCAGCGGCACGTCGCATAGCAACAGCAGGGGTCAGTGGCCGAACGGAAAAGGGCAACGGCCGCACGGATGGCCACCTGCCAGCGGGAAAAGGAGTAACGGCAGCCCGCCAACGGGAAAGTGGCGTGATCTTGGAAACAGGAGTAACGGCAGCCCGCCAACGGGAAAGTGGCGTGATCTTGGAAGCAGGAGTAACGGCAGCCTGACAACGGGAAAGTGGCATGATCTGTGGAGCAGAATCCAGGAGGATTAACGGGCGCTCCAGAGGGTATAAAAGGAGGCCCATTGGAAGACGGCTCGAGACGAGTCTTTTTAGGAAGCTTGTAGCGTTGAGTTGGAGGACTGCCTGTGGAGAGTCCGCCAGTCAAGTGTTAGAGCGTTTCTAAAAAGGATTCGGTTGTTTGAGTTGAAGGACCGCCTTTGGAGAGTCCGACAGCCAAACGTAAGGAGAACGAACGAGACAAGGAAAGAACGGTACGAGGACAGTTACGGGGAACGACCTAGGCGACAGGAGACGAGTTGGACCAGTTCCTGGCCACGGCAGGTAGCCTTGCTAGGAAGTGCAGAAAGGATAAGTCTGGCGCACGCCACTCGGACTCCTGACTCACAACCAACAGGCGTGGTCCTGCAGCCCGGTTTCGCTCCGGAGGACGAGAAGGACGGGACGAGAGAGGATCGGCGTCGGTTGGTTTCCTCGAAAGCTACAGGGTAACAGAGTCGAGTGTGGGCTATTCCAAGTCAAAGCAGGTAGCCTTGCAAGGAAGTGAGGAGAGAACAAGTCTGGCGTACGCCACGCGGGTTCTTGACTCGCAACCAACAGGCGTGGTCCTGCAGGACGCGGATAAGCCAACTCGGGAACTCACGCCCGCTTTGGAACGCGATCGGGAAGGCTCCGATCACCCACCAAGCAGCTCTTGACCCGGGCCCATTGGCGCGTACGCGCGGTGGTCACCCGGCCGAAAGAGTGACGTACGGTC